CCCAGACAGAAAAGGCCGTTAGAAGATTGGGAGGGGCTGATGGAGGTTTCATGGGGAAGGATTTGGGGGGAATAAGGACAGAAGAAACAAGGAGTCTGATTCCAGGGATGAAACTCAGAATTGATTATGTAAAAATGGGAGGAATAGAAGGATCTGCTTATAGGATAAGAGAGCACAGAAGGGGCAATACTGTAACCTGTTCACCCCTACCACTTCCAAAAGATGACTAGAGGGGTAAGGTGAAGGAGGTGAAAATTATTCCAGGAAACTGCCCTCCACAAATCATGCCCAAGATAACCTGAATTTTTTTACAATTTGGAAAGAATTCATGCTCTGAACTTCAGACAGATCTTGGCTTGAAACCATCAGAAGTAAAAGACATGTTTTAAATCAATGTTATTTCTATTTTCCCCCTCCCTTCCTCTCAACATTTCCCACTCCCCATGGAGACCCAGAAACTCAGTTCCTCAAGATCAAAGAAAGGAGAAAAGATTAACACAATTGTTATTGAGCAATGTGTGTGAAGTGGAACTTTTCATTTTGGAAAAACGGATATAAATAAGTTCAGTTAAAACACACTCACATTTGGTCAAATCTGTCACTGGTCCTGGCTAATCGGCCTAAGCATCGTTCCTGGCGCCTATGTGAGAAGGCCGATGGCTGTCTTGAGGGGACTGTCTTGTGGACGGGTCAGGCTGAGGGCAGGACTAGTGCTTTCTATGGAAATGACAGGGGAGAGGAATCTGGCTCACTTACCAGAGAGCCTGTATGACCGAGTTCCCCTCCCTGGGGACTTACAGCAGAATCCAGATGGCCCTTGGCAGGTCAGATGCTACAGAAGCAGCACAGTATTGGGCAGGCAACCACAGCCTGCCATTCCATACTCAGGCAAGCCTTTCTTGCTCAGAGCTTCTGTAGCTTCCCCTCAATGTCAAACTAGGGAAATAATCCCTCTCTTTCCTCCTCACAACAATGCGGTGACAAGAACTGACACACCACAACAGCCTGGACACTTCATATAAGGTAAGCACTACGTAAACACAGCACAGCTCCATGGACTCCACGTGAGCCGAAGTACTCGCAGGCCTCCCAGGTAGGAGGAGGGCCACAGAGGCATCCTGGGAACCACGTCTACCCGAGGGATTGTTGTGACCCCAGTTCCAAGCAGTAACTGACACCAGGAATCTGCTGGGCGAAGCCGGGAGAGGTGGCAACCCTCCCTGAAATCTGGACCTTCTATAGCAGAAACCTGGCCTCAAAGAGAGCTCCCCCAGGCATCAGACCACAGAAGGAACAACTCAGGACCAGTGACTCCACCCAGCCCTGCCTGCCCCACCCTCGGGCCATTAGGGAAAGCAGGGACTCCTAAGGCAAGGAAGGAAGGAGGGGGTAAAAAGAAACTGAATCACAAGTACAGGATTTTCAGCTTGCAAATGACCCTGTTATGGTGCCAGCCCCGCTCAGATGTTTACACAGCTAGTTAGATGGAGGGATTCTCTAGGAGAGGGATGCTAGAAGCCAAGCTTCCTGCCCCTCACCCAGGCCACCATACCCCACTGTCTATCAAAATTCCCAACACCTCTCCTTTCTCCCAATACTTTCTCCTTTGCTGTCACTGAGAAACGCATCTTGGCCCAGGTAAACTGGAGTCCCAAGAAGGAAGGGGCAGGAGATGAGAAGGTAACTCTGAACAGGTCTTCTGTAGGCGGGTACAGAGCCTGTGAAAATATAAAGGGCTAAGAGATGGCAGATAGAAAAAACTGTCATCTTCAAGGGCAGGAGAGAAGACTACAAGGAAAGGCCCAGTGCGCACTCCGAGAATGGAGCTCCATCTCCTAACCAGACACGTGGCCCTGAGGCCTTGGGACGGAAATTCCTCCCCGCTCTTGAAGGGCACCTTGCACACGGACGGAGAACCCGAGGGCTAGAGTCCCTCCATCTAAGTCCCATATACCTTCCCACAACTTGATGACCCCAGGTATTTAATAACAACAAGAGGAGACACATTCAGGGTAGGCTTTTAATTGAGGCCATTAAGGCTTTGCCGGCACGCTAATTCAATAAAAGAACAGAGCTTTTCTCTATGTAACAGTTACACAAGCATATCAAACGATGTCAGTGTTACTGTGTTCTATGTACAGGGCCCTGGACACTTGTCAAAACCTATCATTTCCTTTGCTCCTTGTAACAGCCTGTGAGGGCTTGGAAAGCTGGTTATTCCCATGTTGCAGGTGGAGAGAGCATGGCAGAGATGGACCAACATACGTATCTAGGGCTGTACAATAAGAAAGAGCTAGAACACAAATCCTACTGATGCCCAATCCTGTCTGTTCCTCTGCTCTTTCCATGAGGTTTCATAGCCTAAACTCCCTCGTAGGGGAAGGAGGAGAGGCAATTTAGGAGGTTTCATAGACCATCTCCAACCCACTCTCAACGCAGTTCTACTCAGCTCCTCAAACGTAACAGCCTGCCCCTCTGGGTAATACACACCAGCCTCGTAGTTTGGCCCCAACCGACTTGGAATCCTACCATCTCAGTGTAGGAAAGGCCCTTACAGGTCCTCTAAGCCAACCCCCTGCAGGGGGCTGAATTCTTTTCATGCTCTCCTTGGCCTAACCTCATAATTGCTATTGCTGACCACCCCTCACAAGGTCCTCCTTCCCCCGGGAGGAGTGGCTGGGAACAAGCCTGCACCCCGAGAGGGAGGGGGAGGTGAAGCTCCCTGTTACCCAGCCCAGCAGGGCACTTCCTGAACGGCAGCAAGACACACAAGTGGAAAACGAGACAGGAGCCTTACCTTTCTTCTCTTCTCTCAGCTGCTCCCCTGGAGATCCTCACACCCCATCCAGCACTCCATTTCCAAAACCGAGACTCCCAAACCAGAGACACCAAACAAAGTGCAGCTTCTCTCCTCTGATCCGCGTCCAAAGTCCATGGCTGAGCGTCCTCTGAGGGGGAGGAGTCTGGGGGGGAAGGGGCAGGTCCGGACCCCTCCCCCCCCACTGCGGGGCGTCAGTGTCCCTCCCAGGCGTCCGGTAAGGCCCTTCATTCAGCTGGCTTCTCAGGCCCAGATCCTGGTGGTAGGCGGGTCCCAGCTACTATCCCATCTCGGGCTCCGGGAGGGGAAGTCATCCACTGCGAACACTGGCCCCTCTGTCTCCTGCTGGGGCTCCGGAGAAGACACAGGCCTTCGAACCGGCATGGCCCAGGCGGCTGCCTCCTGCGTTAACCTGCAGAAGATTTAAACATTAGGACACTTTCTAATCTATTCTACTCCCAAGTGGATTCCCAAGGCTTCCCACCTAAATCAGAGCCCTTGATTACGCTCTACCGTGAAAAGCCCGGCCTCACACACTCCACAACATACACAAGGTACCTTCTCCACTCACATACGGCCCCACTGCCACCCCCTCGGTATGGCTCAGGATAAGGGAAGGACGGCACCTATTCTCACAACAGAAAAGCGGCCAGAAGCACTGATGGGCGTGTGGGGACTGTCTTCCCAGAAACGTGGACAAGAGCCTGCCCTCCCGTCCTGCCTGGTGGGTGCTGCACTGACCGCCCTGCATCTCCCAGGCTCCTCAAGGTGTCAGCGCTCCAACCGCCGCTCTCCGCGACGGAGCTCCATCCACTCGGACTTTCCACTTGCACTCTACAACATCACCTACATGCAACTCTGCAACCTCACCTCCCATCCACTCTGCAACCTCCCCTCCCATGCAACTCAGCAGCCTCACCTCACATGCACTCTGCAACCTCCCCTCCCATGCAACTCAGCAGCCTCACCTCACATGCACTCTGCAACCTCCCCTCCCATGCAACTCAGCAGCCTCACCTCACATGCACTCTGCAACCTCCCCTCCCATGCAACTCAGCAGCCTCACCTCACATGCACTCTGCAACCTCCCCTCCCATGCAACTCAGCAGCCTCACCTCACATGCACTCTGCAACCTCCCCTCCCATGCAACTCAGCACCCTCACCTACATGCAACTCAGCAACCTCACCTCACATGCAACTCTGCACCCCCACCTGCCCCTCTGCTTCCAAAACTGCGCCGGGGATGTAACTCCTCATCGCTGTCCCACTCCTTCCCCAGCCACTCCCGGGAGTGTGCGAGGCCCGCCCCGGCCCGCAGCAACCCCACGGGGTTCCAACTCCTCGGTCCCGGAGCCCACCCGGCGCCCCTCCCCTCCGAGTTTATTCCTCAGCACGCACACAAACACACACTCCCATTTCCTTCCTGTAGGGGCGTGACGGCCACATGACCCCCACCCGTGCCCTGCCGCCAAGAACTTAACTCCTCCCACTCCTCTCCTCCGAAACGCGGGGCTCTGGGTTCGCCGGAAAGGGGGTGACAGCGACCCTCCCCACACCGACCCCCACCCCTCTACCGCCGGGACGAGCCTCGCCCTATCTGCGCTGGGTCGTTACCTCGATCCCGCCCGCCCCGTCT